CAGCGAGGGGGGCGGGGGGGGGGAGGCCCATTCGGTCCCCACTCCGCGTCCACGTGTCACCCTCCGGCCTCACCCCGAGACCGCTCCCCCGCAGGCCTGACACACACGCAGCGGTCTCGGCGCCGACGAACAGTGTGTGGCCCAGAAGCGGACCCTCCTTCACACCCTCCGCTCTCCCCAGACCAAGCCCTGGAGGACCCCCTGGACCCGCAAGCACGTCAGAGCAACGAAAGGGCTGGTACGTTGCCCTAACCGGTGTGGCTCAGTGGATAGAGCGTCGGCCTGCGGACTGAAGGGTCCCAGGTTCGATTCCGGTCAAGGGCATGTACCTTGGTTGCGGGCACATCCCCAGTGGGGGGTGTGCAGGAGGCAGCTGATCGATGTTTCTCTCTCATCGATGTTTCTAACTCTCTATCCCTCTCCCTTCCTCTCTGTAAAAAATCATAAAATATATTTAAAAAAAAAAAAAGCTGGTACGTCCCGGCACAAAGGAGGACAAAGAGCACGCGGCTCTTGCCCAGTGACCTTAGATACGTCCCTGGAGCTCCCAGAGCCTCAGTTGCCTCATCTGTAAAATGGGAGAGTGAAAAGCCACACCCACCCCTCGCGAACAGGAAACACCCAACCGCGGCTTCCCAGCGCCACGCATGGTCTCCGCCAACGCAATACGACAGGAAAAAGCTCTGGGAGGCACGGAGACGGGCCAGCTTCATCCGGAACAGCCCCGAACCAGAAACCACCCGAATGCCCGCCAGCTCATGAACAGGGAGGCCCAACTGTGATACACTCCTACCACGGGACGCTTACTCGGCGATGAAAAATAATCAACTATTCATCCGGATGAATTGCAAGAACTTGCAGAGGCCCTGGCCGGTGCGGCTCCGTTGGCTGGGCGTCGTCCCTGTGCCCCGAAAGGCTGCCGGTTCGATTCCCGGTCAGGGCACATGCCTGAGTTGCAGTCTCTGTCCTCGGCTAGGGGCGTGTAGGAGGCAGCCGACGGATGTTTCGCTCTCACATCAATGTTTCTCTCTCTCTCTCTCTGACTTCCTTCCTCTCTCTCTTTAAAAAATAAAAATCCATTAAAAAAAGACATCAGAGAGAAAGAAACCAAATACAAAGAAGTTCATACTTTAACACTCCCTTGATTGTGGGGGTTGTTCGAAGAATCTTTACGTGTCAGAACTCAGGGGGGCTCGTGTTCCGGGGGAATTAGATCCCCTTGAGGCTGCTGTGTTTCCAACCGTCACAGGAAAACACAGACGTACATACAGCCCCACTGACCCGGACCCAGGGCCCAGGGCCCGTCCCCCACCTCCAGGTCCGACCGCCTGGTTCTGCCACGGCCCTCACGCTGCCCAAACCCGACTCAAGGGTGCGGGACCAGGGAGGGTGGGGTTTGCCCCGCCGCCCGGCGAGGTCCCCGGCTGCAAAGGCAGGCTTATAAACGGCTCGCTCCTGAGAGCTCCTGGGCAGGCGGAGCCCCACGGGCACGGGCCGGCTGCGGGCCCTGGCACACAGCAGGGCCTCATTGATGCTGCTGCAGACAGACCAACAGCGAGCACCAGGCCTCGGTGGGCAGGACTGGCCCGGGTTCTTGTCCCCCCGACGCACGCAAGCCCCCCCACCAGGCAGGACTCCAGGCCCAGGTAGCCGCCCCCGTCACCGAAGGCTGCTCGGCCCCACCCAACCCGCTCCTCCCAAGAGAGGGGACCCCAAAAATGGGCCCCCTGTGGGGAAGGGTTGGCACAGTCTGCCCCCAGAGCCCACCCACTTATAAAAGAAAAAACAATCATGAAAGGCCCGGCCGGTGTGGCTCAGTGGTGAGCATTGGCCTAAGAACCAGGAGGTCACGGTTCAATTCCCCGTCAGGGCACAGGCCCGGGGTCAAGGGCTCGACCCCCCAGTGTGGGGCGTGCAGGAGGCAGCCGATCCGTGATTCTCTCTCATCACAGATATTTCTCTCCCTCCCTCTCCCTTCCTCTCTGACATCAATAAGAATATGTTTTA